AAAAAAAAAAGCCTGCGGGGCAGCTGGCTCGGGTGGTGGGCTGGGGGTCACCCTGGCCCCACGGTCCTGCTCCGCAGGTCTCCTTGGTCTTTCTCATCAGCGGGCTGGTCATCCTGGGCTATGCTGCCTCTGTCAGCGGCCAGACGACCTATCAGGGTGTGGTTGGAGGGCTGTGTGGCCCGGCCTTGGGGAAGCTGTGTGAGGCCTGCTTCATCATCAACCTGCTCATGATCTCCGTGGCCTTCCTCAGGGTGATTGGGGACCAGCTGGAGAAGCGTAAGTACTGGCACAGGAGTGGGGGGCGCCCCCGGGGGGCTTCTGGTTGATGAGCGGGATGTGGGTACGGGGGGGGCTTGGGGGGACAGCAGAGGCCAAGGCCACCCCTGAGCTCCTTACGTCGTGGCAGAAGGAGTGGTAATGAGCACCCTGGGAGTCATGGAGGGGGAGGGGCCGTGCCGGATGTCTAGCGGGGACAATCCAGTTTACAGATGGGGAAGCCAAGCCAACTGCAGAGAAGTCCCTTTGGAGAGCGAGCCAGTAACACCTTGAATCTGGGGATGGACGTCCAGGCCTGAGCCCAGGCCCCCTTGGCTTCTCGTCCCCCGTGGACCTTTTCCCTGCAAACACTGCTAGCCACATTGTGCCCGCTTTGATAGGTTTCCTTTTTGTTCGATTGAGCGTATTTGCGAATTCTTGCTGGGATTTCTTCCTCGACTCACGGGTGTTGATGCTTGTGTGGTTCAGTTTCCACTTCGGAGTTTCCTAGATCGCTTTCTGGTTTCTGCCTTAGTTGTGCCACGGTCGGAGAACACGCTCCGTGTGGTTTCAGTCTTTGGCCTCGGAGCCTTGCTCTGGGCCCCCATGTGATCAGTCTTGGTGGGCGCTCCGGGGGCCCTTCAGGGACGTGCCTGGTGCAGTTGGGCGGAGTGTTCTAGAATGCTGCATCGGCTCTAGGTGCCCCACGGCTTGGATGAGATCCTCCCGAGCCTCCCTGATTGTTTTTCCAAATGGAGTTACTCCCTCAGGTGGTGAAAGGCGAGCGTGCAAATCAGCTGTTGCAGGTTGGTGTGTTTGACCCTTGAATTCTGTCCATTTTGGCCTCCTGGTGCTCGAAGCTCTGTTGGCAGGCTCCCACCCGTGAATTGTCCCCTGAGGATCGTGAAAGGTCGCCTCCCGTCTCTGGTAGTACTTTGCCTTCAAGTCCAACCTCTCTGCCACGCGTCTAGTCCTTCCAGCTTCCTTGAGTGTTTGCCTGGCTTCTCCCCCTCCTCCCACCACCCCCCCACCCCCGCCCCGGGTCTTTGACTGTGAACCTAAAGGTAACTTGGGAGTTTCAGATATGTTTCCTGTGGACATTATGTAGTTGGGTCTCGCTTTTTTCTTTGTTTTTTTTTTTTTTAATCATCTCGACAGTCTCCGTGTTTAACTGGAGTGTTGCAATTTTTAATTGGAAAGTGGTTAGCGATACGCTTGGATTTTGGTCGTCTGTTTTGCTATTTCTTCTGTCACTTGAACCAAAGGCCCCCAGTGCTAGGGGTCCCGAGGTTCCAGGTGCCCGTGTCTTGGGGGGGTGCTTGTATCCCGAAAAGCATGGAGGTTGGCGAATCTGAACCTCCCGGTGGATAAAAGGGGCACAGAAGTGCCCTGCCTTTCGGTGTGAAGTGGAGGTCATGTCCGGTTCCACCTCTGGGCAGAGGTGGTTGCACCAGAGGGCAGCTGGAGTGATCCGAGCAACCTTGAGGACGCAGACCTCCTCCACGGGCTCTGGGCAGATGGCCTGGGGTGTGCTTGTGTGTTAGTGGTTAGAGGGTTGGGGATGTGTTGTCTCTGCAGGCTTCTTGGCAGGAGGGCCAAATAAAGACTGGGGGTGCCCGTGGCGGTTGGGGTGCTTGGTGTCCTTGTGTGCAGTGGGTACCGATGAGAGAAGTAACAGGTGCTGAAAGACACTAAGGAATGTTCTAGAAAGTTGAGGGCTCAGGAGGGGCTGCTGGAGCCCAGATGTCCAAGCTGGGATCCTGGCTGAGGAGATCTAGATGCAAAAGTGGGGCTTGTGTCCCTTCCCAGAGGCCATGTGGGTCTGGCACTCCCCGAGGTCTCCGTGCACCTCTGGGTGCGTGCATTCCCCTGGCGTCTGTGGCCCGGAATGCTTGCTTTGCTCTCGTGCCTGGTGCCTGTGTAGAGTGACCTCGGGGTGGGACCCTGGGACCGCCCCTCCCCCCCCC